TTGGTTCTCCTAGCACCTATTTGCATGTTTTTAAACACAGTCACCTTAAAAAAAAGTATTTAAAATATTATCAGTTCTTTGCGTTAATTCTTGCTATAGAAGTAGATAAGGGTAGGATAAAACATCAAACAGATTGAGACGTTATTGATACATATGAATATTTTAGTCTTACAAAAGAGAATCAGCATTTGGTAGCATGTCATGTACTGAACTCAGTGCATTTGAAGAGTTTCAGAATCATAATGGCTCACCTACAGACACATGTACACTTCCGATTTTTTTTTGATTAATTTTATAGGACTTTGTAGCCAAATGCCTTTAAGAATATGTCTCTATACACATTGAAAACAAACAACACTCACTTTATAGATGCACAAAAAACAAACACAAAAAGCCTTAGCCACACAAGTGTATGTACGCACCCAAACTTAAAACATTTTCTGCTCTTTCAACACAAGTAAAAGCAAATTAAAATGGGCAAATAACTCGCAAGAAATTGCTGCCTGAAATACATGGACCTTCCTGTCACGGCCTTATGAAGCTGAAATTATCCAACATGCAAAAAGCACTGTTAATTTTGTTCATAAAGAAATTAAAAGCATTATAACCATGCTAGAAACCGTGATTATTTAAAAATGGATGCAAGAAGAGCTAGATCTGTATTCTGAAAGTTGAGCATCATGCTAGGGATGTTTTTTCCTAAAAAAAAAAGCACGTCCAACACATGCTACTTAGGAGAAGCATTTGGCTCAAAAACACAGAGCAAAGCCAAGAAATAACCAAACTGAATGTATCTGCGCTACAGGTATTGCCCTCTCAACCCACTAATATTCATGCCTCTTCCCATCTCTCTCAGCACTGGTTAGTTCACCTTCAGCATGCATAAGAGTTGATGAGGAACTGCCCTCCTACTCTACCTAATTTTGCTCAGCTGATTCCTTGCCCTGGACAATGGCTGCAGTGCGATGAACTCGTCACTTAAAGCAACTCTGTTGGAGTACATCTACAATTGGACAGAGAAGGGATGGAACATACATGTCAGTAAGTAGTAGCAGTAATTTTCTAAGAGAAAGACACAGGACACGACATTGTTATTTAAGTGGAATACACATCATATACAGAACACAAGCCTGGTACCTTCAGGACAGCTCCTGGGATCATCACAGCCAGTTACTGTTTGGTAGGACCATTCTTAAGTGTACCTCAGCTTTCATACTGAGAAAAAAGGCCTATACACTTTTACATCTATACTTTACCAGACATCTTCATTCAGTATTACTTTCTCCCCCCAAGAGTGCTGTGATTTATATTTACCTGAAGATTTATATTCTGATTCAGATCTACCTTACTGTCCACCTCCTCCTATACAATTCTGTAGCAGACCTATAGTCAGAAATTACCCAGAAGCTACTTCAGGGCAACAGACTTAAGTCAAACAGAGTAAGATGGATTTTCTTTAAGGCCAGCAAAAAAACCCCCTTGGATCACAGCAAAAAAAAGAAACAAAACTACACACATGCACTCTAAGTGCATCAAGGCAGGTAAAGGTAACCAAATTCACCCCTCTATAAAAGTCAACTCATGCTTGCCTGTCAAATTTTTAATATACCGACTTCCCAAACAGAACAGATTTATTTTTTTTAAGTTGTTGTGACAGAAAAATATTTACATTTAAAACTTTATCTCTAGCAGAAATTCTCAAGTGTTTCTCATACCAGTTAAATTTCTTCGCGCTCTTATAAATAACTTAGCTACATGTAACATCTAACTGATGAGAGACAGACTGACTGTTGATGCTACGTCCTTATACTAATAAAAGATATAAAATCAAGTTTTTTATATACTGAGTAGAGTAAGACAGATGCCTACAGATACAGTGAATTCAGAGCACTAAGTTGGGTAACTTGCACAACTAGCGTGCTCTTAAGTTTCTGAAAAATTAAAACAATAGGAGCAAGCATTTTCAGTTGAGAAACCTGTGTTTTGCTCACTGCTCCTGGAGATATTTTAGAATTTAAATGACAGTGGACAGAAACAACTAACTTAAATAGCTGTGATTTAAAAATCAGTGACTAGTTCATGTAACAATTTATCTTGCCCTGATAAAAACGTAGTAACTGTAAACTAAACTTTTTCTCTCCCCCAATATGCAAACATACTAATTTAGTCCTACAACTAAAAATGAGTAATTAAAAATATTCAGTTATACAGAGGGTGCACCAACACTACGAAAAATGCATTTAAAAGGGCAATATACAGAAGTTCCATATCCACTCTTCCAATGACTTCCACAGAAAATTACTTAGTGTTTAGGACAAAGACATTCTCCAGACTCATTCCATCTGAAAGTCAGAGTCCTTTCCTCTGCTTTGAAACTGAAAGAAAAATATTTACTAGAAATTTTAAACAAATATGAGGCATAATCACGAAAGAAGCATTCTGTCACTTCTTGACAATAAATGTGCTAAGGTGGTCACCTGTTCATCTTCACTTATGTCTACTTCCTCACTACAGGAATAGCCGATGAATTCAGTGGGGCTGACTGTCCCCTTAAAAGTAAGAGTGGGAAAATCTCAACAGATTAAACCTCAAGAAAGGAACAAACAGGTGCCACCTTTTAGCAAATACATTTTTAGCTATGATTTCACTATCAGACACACACAGAGAAACCACTGAATGGCTACTGAAGCATTTCTGGTCAAATCAGGTTTTAGATACCTTGACTTTGCAATATCAGGAATTAAGCATTTTCAGAAGAGACAGTATTTTGGTAAACCTCGACCCTAATGCTGACACTGTCAAATGGCAAAGTAGAATGGGAATAAGGGGGGGAAAAAAAGGAAAAAAAAAAAAAAAAAGATGACTAATAGAGATGCACAAAGCAAAATTCCCATGGCTATGAATCAAGCTATAGCCACAGGAAAGATGTTAAGACATTCATCAAGATTCCTTCTTAAAAATAAGAAGTCCAACTGTGTCCTTGACAACACAACTGTAATGGAAGCAAACTGAACACGGAAATTCTTCAGAATTGATTCAGAAAGCAAGAGAATGCAACAAGAAGCATACGGATAAAGCTAGGGAAAAATCGATGCAGGCTTTTTGGATTTAATTCAAACACTTTAGGAACATGAGAAACCTCAACAACTATACCAATACACTGCCAGTAGAAACAGCTGATGTACAGGAAGGAAGGAAAGGGAAGTGTTTGATAAATACTGCCACTAATTTTTGAAGGGGGGGGGGGAGATATGTAAGTATCATTACTTATAGAATTTTTCCTATATCAAGACACTTTAATCCCAAAAGCGCAATAACATGCAATTGACAGTCTTACCAGGTCTAGTTGAACAGTTTTCTGAAAGCTAGTGGTTATTTACTTTGGCTTTTAGCTATTAAATTCCAAGACTGGAAAAAGCAGCTAATATTCCAGTTTTGAAAAGCGACTAATGGGATATTTTGGCTTAGCAATAGGTTTGACAGCATGATGTTGATTCTAGGCAAATTAAGAGAATGTCTCACATGGATTTTTTTTTTTTAACGCACAAATTAGAAGGGTAATGTAATTTAAGTAAATCAACATGCAGATACACCAAGGTAATTACAAGGTTAGATGCTAATTGTAACAGTATTGATGTAATGCAGTTAGGAGTTCTGTATGGCACATAGCTCAGTGTAATTTGGATTAAGCAACTAGGACACCACAAAATCAATATGGCACACAAACAGACTAAAAACTGCTAACAGGTTTCAGATCATAACTGTATATGGGATATCTTTGTGAACTGGATTCTTCATTCACCTTCACTTTTTTTTGGCCCTATGCTATTTGATCTCTCATCAATGACCTGGAAGAAACCAATGTAATATAATCACTTGCAGATAAGAAAAAGATGTAGAAGATAACAGGTTATTGATCTATATTATTTTGTAAACTGAATACAGCTGGGGGATTCATTATTTCCATACTCGGCACTGATGTATGCTGTGCTGGAATATTGTGTCCACTGGTAAAATCCAAAATTCAACATGAGGTTGAGGAATGGTGACGATTAGAGGAGAAACACAAGAATTACTAAAAGCCTGGAAAGTAACTTTTTTGACAGAAGATGCAAGTCCAATCTACTTATCAGTGAGAAAATCAACTTGATCACAAACCTAACCGTGAATAAAACAAAAAACTGTTAATAGAAGGCTTTTCACTTTAGCAGAAAAAGTATAAAAAGATAAAATGCTGAAAACTGAAACCAGAGAGTAACTATTAGAACAATGGGTCAGGATGACTTCTCCATAACTGTCACTAAAAAGAAGAAAACACTCGAACACAGATATTTACCTGAAAGACAGCCTAATTTCAACAGAATGATTTAAAGGAGTCTTTGTAGCCTGTGTCAGGCAAAAGGGAGATTGTATTATCACAGCATATCTTTAGACCTCTTCTATGAATTTATGAAAATGCCACACGGGTAATTATCTTTAATTACATAATCAACAATCAAATACATGGCATATGATATGATCGAGAGTTAAGAAATACTAATTAAAACAAATCCTACAAAAGTAATTTTTAAAATTATTGTTTTCATCACATTTTAAGAACTATTCAGTGCCAATTACAGTTGAAGAGAGAGCTTCTAATACCTAGACAAAAATGAGAATAAGTTACCATCTTCAAAGCAGTGCAAAAACGCATATGATCCTCTCATGCAGTTGCAAGCCCAGATGCAAAAGACTGAGGGACCCCTTTATAAATACTTCTACTATTGTTAGTATCGATTACTTAAACATAAATGTTATTACCTTGTAAAATGGTGTCCTCATTTTTGTAATTTTAAATTAACAACTATCTTCTGAAATGAGAACGCTTTTATGCATTAAACATGACAGCAACGTAAGAGAATAATTAAATATCACAGGAAAGTAATTAGTTTACAAGACAGATTTTAACAAACGCATTCTTTTAACTACCCATCAAGTTGGATACAAAAGCATAACATTACCTGAGCTTTTTCAGTACTTGTTGGTTGTAGATGTCTGTACAGCACTTTCTTCAGAACATCAATAAACAAACAAGCAACTACTATGAGGATTATGGCAAACCAAGCAGAACCACTTGACAACAGTTGAACAAATACAAAGTACATGTCCTGGGTATGTAAAAATGGCCTGAAAAGTTAAAAGAAGTGGCAATTACTAAAAAGAACTTCTAGAAACAAAAGTACAGCACAGGCAGGCTCAAGTGTAAGTGTATCTTATTTTACATCAAGCAGCAAGTCTCTCAGGATGCAGTTACAACTGCATGGTGTCCATGAAGAAGGCTAACAATTTGTTGGATCTGACCTGCAAAGAAACTCTGGAGAAGGAGGGTACCAAATTTGGGAGGAAAACGTTCTGGTTTCGTTTTAAGTTGTGTTGCAGGAAATCAATCACCATCCTCTCTCCACGCCCCCCCCCCCCCAAGCCCCCAAAATACAAGCAAAAAATACATCACGCTACTGATTCAAACCCCAGTGTTTAATTTCTGTTGCAAATTACTTATTACATAGCACCTCTGGGAACCTATCTACTTTTTAAAAACAAAAATGCCTTTAAAGTCACAGGCTGTCAGAGACAAGTAATGCCTGTCCTTTAGCACAGGACAGCTTAGCAGCATTGCTGAAATTTCTAAAAGAATCACGAAAAGCAAGTGGCCACTCTAGGTTTAAAAATTTATTTTCTGACACCTGTCACAAAATTTAGAGCAAGATGGTAGAACATAATATTTCAGTGTTTTTTCATAGCTTCATCTATCGTATGTGCTATAGAAAGGAGACGAAATAAAAAAGAATCACTCACCAGATAATTCCCCCATAAAATAAGGAGAATATGAAATAAAACACAATGGATCCCCAAGTAACAAAATGGTTTATCCATGTCCAGAAGTGAGTTTCTAGTGCCATCTAAAACAAAAATAACTTCAATAAACTTCCTTTTTCCCCCCACTTCCCAGAAAATTATAAATACTGGCCTGAACGTACTTATGAACTTCCAGCTCAAACACTAAACATTGCTGCAACATGCAAAAACTACAAAGAAGAATTTTAACCACCATTGAAAACAGACACAAAAACCACTTATCTGGAATCCTCAAGAATCAATTACTTCTGTACAACTTTTGAATCAATTTTAAATTATTGCTCTATTACATATTTGCCTATATACCCAATCACAGAGAGTAATTACTGTGTCATACCTTCATCGTAACAGTTATAACCATAACGGTGAAGACCAAAGTACCAAACGTCCAGTTCCCAAACATCTAAGAAAAGAGCAAGGCAAAAATCATGGAAGGGGAAAAAAAAAAAAAAAAAATCAGTTAAGAGCATTCAAGGTAAGTCAGATTCTTCTCAAGTCAGCTACACTAACGTCTACTACCACCAAGCCTGTGGTCATAAGCTTGTGACAACTAATCATCATGAAAAAGCAAGAAGGATACAACACAAACTACCAGAAAAAAAAACAGCTTATGATAAGAGCAAAATTAACAACCCACAAGTCATCTTTCTTCTTGGTTCAAAACAAATCACGACAAAGTCTACATGAAATATGAAGAAAGTCCAAAACGGTACCATGAAATGATAGGAAAATTAATCAATTAAGTATAAGCATCCAATAGAAAGTAAATACTGGGTGGAAGGTATTCACTTTAATGTAAGTGCAAAACACTTTTGAGTTTAAACATTTCCAGATCATTTTCAACATGCAGCATCACCTGAAAGTTCACTTTTTACCCCAAGCACAATTTTACAATTCAAAAATAATGGTGCCATTGTATTTTTCACAGAAAATTCTAAGGAAAAGACACTTTGTTTCAAGGCTAATAAACACAAAATTAAGCTTCAATTCTAAAATGCTCTGTCATTTTTGTATTCTCTTGCCCATGTAAATTAAACTATCAAAACTCTGAACAAGTTCTACAACAATAAAATCTCAGCTCTGACAACCAAGCAGGGATGCCGAGTTTGTAATCTATCTACACACATGCTACTCAGACACACACTGCCATTCTACAACAGGTCCAACTGCTCTGCTCTTGTACGCAGTCTGGGTGCTGAAACTGAAGACGTTGCTGTTTGGTAGCTATTTTTGCCACTGACATACTGAACAATGACCAAACCCTGAACTCTGTGTTTACCAGTAACAAACTAAGCAAGCAAGGAGAAAGGTACCACATGCAGACAGGCAATGAAAGTCATCCTAGAGTTGATTTGTTAGTACAGCACAGAGGCACGGAACTGGGATTCGCACAGTTGTAGTCCTTGTTACAGAGCTCTGACAAAAACAAATCCCAACAGCCTGATGATAGATCTCACAACTGTTTTTCTCATCTTTACACAAGGTACAAAATTGAGGCAGCCATGAGTCTGGATTTACTGATAATTTTAAAGATCTTTGTTATAACATGTCTTCTGGAGCCTTCTATTTACTTTTCATACCGACAGTAATGTTTAACAAGCAACACGCTTGCTGTTAACTGCTGCAATAATAATCTTAAAGTAAAATTAGACTACTGCTCCTGAGTGACCTCTGAAAGAAAGTGTCTTTGCTAACACTGCTCTCAATGGTCACAGAGTTAGAATGCAAAATATGAACGGATTCTTGCCACCATTTTATTTTTGAACATATTTACACTGTGGATGCTGCATCCCTTAATCCTGTGAAGTAACAGATACAGTATTTTGTATCTCCTCCTCTTCTAAACTCTTACCATTTGCCTGTTAGGTTTCAATATCTGACGACATGCACAGCATGAAAAAGGGGGGAGAAAAAAGAACTAAAAGATCAAGTTGTTGCACAATGCGTTGAGGTAAGCCTAACAAACCACCAGCATTACCAAATTACTTACAATCTCTTCTATTCTGCTTTGCTCCAAACTGAGAACTTGGAATGAAAACATGAGGTCTTGCACTAACACTACCCTGCATCACACATTTGCACAAAGTGATCACTTCTTGAGGACTTCTTACAAGAAAGCACTTCAGCAGTACACAAGTTTCTCTTGCCCTTAACTTTGGCTTTTTCAGGCACACATTAAATTTGCAACATATTTTATGCACTGCAGATATTTTACTGCAACACACAGTTCTATCAGTTCCAATAACCATCTTTTAGCAAACACAGAGAGGTAGAGAGCAACTCCAAATAAATTCTAAGACTTTTTTTTAAGTCACATCACAGAAAACATGAGAAGCCAAAGGGCATCTGAAAGCTTTATTTCCATAAGCTCATTCACTAAGTACATTCAAAAAAAAATCTTGAGCTTAATTTAAACAAGAAACCATTAAAAGAACCTTCTCCATTAACACAGACATTAACACACTGGTCTAGACTTATAGAATATGATCTGTTCCCCAAACTAAACATTTGTTATTAAATACAATGAAAAATGTCTGTTCCTGCCATGTGGATGTTTACCAAGCAATTTTGGAAGTGCTTTGACAACGAAGACAGATGCACAGAAACACACTGATTCATAGTGTAAAATCACTTCATTAGAAGAGTACTGAAGGTCCTTTACCAGCTCACAAGAACTTCAAAGCCACACAGCTTGTAACAAATGACAAGAGAGGATACACTCATACCTCAGTTGCACGAGACATTTTAGTCTCGAGCACAATGATTTTCATGTTCTTATCAAACATCTCATGATGAAATAGGTACTCCAACTAGCTGCACCACTCTCCCTTTATCACTCCTTTCTCTGCAGGGATGCAAACCACCAGTTCACACGCTCGCTGCTTTCAGTCACTCGAGACAATTCTGGCCATTGTTTGTGCATCGTTATATGGAAATCCTTTTTCTGGCTAAACTTCCTGAGCTCATGCCCACTCCCTATCACCAGGCGACCACTGTGAATACAGCATGATGCTATTTTTGTACCTTGTGCCATAACCTGCAACTCTACCAAGCACTACACAAGAATCAGCAAGCAATTCATGTCAGCAGTAAGAACGGCATAATGAGAGAAGCAAGTATATTTTTGCATCGCTACCCATAACAGTTTTATGAGAGAAAAATAATTATCTAATTGTTCTAAATTGGGTTAGCTAACTCAGAACCGGGGAAAATGAGGAAGCAGACTTGTAATGGTTTCACCCAAACTAGAGGGTTTTTTATATGACTTTTCCTGTGAACTTTAACATCTTTAAAATAGAAAGTGTCAAATTAGTATTTTATGATTTCAAGTTATTGTCTTAAAAACACTTATCGAATAAAATGTATAATTTAAAAGCAGCTTGCACCACTTATTTTAAAAATTCTGAGTAATCCAAATAAATACATTTTCAGGAAAAGCTTTAAGACTTTTGGCAACTTTCAGATTTAAGCCTGATTTTATAACAGATCCTAAAGAGAAGCTATTGTTTGACACTGCAATTAAGTCCAACTCAAAATGAGTTTTGAATGAATGAATATAAATTCTCATTTACTGAAGTTATATGATTTTGACAAAAACAGTATACAAAATAAAAGTTTAAGACAACCATAGTACAGTCATTATCTTGAAAGATATGTTCTTCATAGTCATACACTTTCTGACATGTCTTCCAGTTTCCACACTAAGAAATGTTACTCTTGAGAGCAGACACAAATATTGGCAAAGCATCTTTGGTAATTATGTAGTTCATAAAAACAACAACAAAAAATCTTAGATTTTTCTGACACAAGAGGATTTTTCAAAAAAGCATTAAGAAATATTACTAAAAATACAGTGGTAGAATAATTCTTATGGTACTGTACCTGGCCATTTCCCAGCAGAGAAGTGTCTTCTCCCATTAGAAGATATGAGCCATAAAAGAAAACAAATGCATGAAAGAAGCCCAAGACGGTCCAGTAAAGAAATGGTTTAAACCCAAGATGGGCGTTTTTACTGATGTCTCTGCAGAAATAAAACAGATTTTGGATTTCAGAATGTCTTTATATAACCCATCAGCTATTCGCATTGCATGACTGCTACTGCTTTGAATAAATGTAACTTTCAAATGTACCAAGACACATTTAACGAATGCTGACATATGAAAAAATACATAAATCACAGGCAATAAAAGAACTCTCAGCTCTCATGTTCTGCCTCTGCTTTACGCTGGGATCACCAATGGCAAGGGTCTCTAATGGGTGAAATTCAGAATAGCACAAACTAGAAATCTTCTCCCTAAGGTGGAATTGCAAGAGGAAGAAAAAGCCAGACCTCTCAATACTTGCCCCTTGCTCTGCTTAAAAGACCTTTAGGAAAAGAGAAACATCTAAGAGACATCTCTTTTTTTACAAAAATACATACTTTTTTCTCCAAAAAGCAGTATGCAGTGCAACATGCTACCACTGGGAGGACATCTAATTCTACAGGAAATCACTTCCCCTCTTAGTAAAGCATTTTTTGTGGTGATTCCCCTAACCACAGTTTTTCATTTTTTTTCATTTGTGTGTCTGAGTGATTTTCACCTCCTACATGTAATGGAGGAGAAGGCCACCAGTCATCTAAGCTGACCGAGTCCTCAATTCTCTTCCAATCTTAACATGACTGACATAAAAAGGTGCTTCTCTTAAAATACTCATGTTAGTTAACTTTTAGGATGAAAAGTATGTAGCTGCAGTTCTTCTTTGTCAAGATAGTTACTAAAAATTGCATAAATCACAGATAAAAATACTGCAGGAATGCATAATAGCAAGTTCAGACTTTTGCAGATGCCACTGTTGTTATAAACAACGTGCTACTGTGACAATATATGCAAGATATACATACCGATAGAGCACAGGTTTACTCTGTAATACATGCGGATGCACATGCTGTTCAAAAAGACTGTATATGAGGACAGGCAGGGAAGTGAAACAAATATTGTACAAAGTCAGGTAGACACTGTCATAGAGCGTCTGAAAATGGAAACAAAAAGTATTCTGAGTCTTTTAAAGAAAAAAGTTGTTTATATTAAAATTCATTAGCACACTAATAGCAGCAACAAATCATTAAGTACATGAATTTGCTAGTTAGAAAAAAGCTATGCTCACGTAACCATCTAGTAACATCAAGCTATCGAATATAGAAAATTAAGCTGGATATTTGTTAAGTGTATAATCTGTGCTGCACCTGTGTAGTTCTTTCCCATTTTTTCAGTTATTTACCCTAAGTGTTTCATACACATTTACCAAGATGCAAGGAATCCAATACTTACTTGTTGTGAAAACAAACAGAAGAACTGATATAAAAACTGTGGTGTAATAAAGCACACATTCTGAAAAAAGAAAAGTGAAGAAAATAGTTAATCCTCAGTATCTGCCTCACAACCCTAAAAGAAACTGCTAACTCTTACAAGCTGGTAAAAATACACAGTGAGAGCATAAAGCATTTTAGCATTTTACTTGGCAAAGTGAAGCAATATGCTTTGCTCAAGAGCGTATTTTGTTTGTCCTTTGGGAAAATGAACCTGAAAAATAAAAACTTAATTATATGTGCTTGCTGAACACATCCCCTTATGGGAGTACAAGTAGTATTAAAGGAGGAGAAAACCATCCATTTTCCCCTCAGTTTCTTTTTAAGAATTTCTTTGCAAAACAGTTTCCACACTTCATTCAAGAAAGCCTGTGCCCTGCTCACTTGAGCTTTTTGCATGAGGGTAGACAAAACGGAAACCAAAACATAACACCATGCTGTTATCTTTAAATGAAAGCAAACAACAGAAGATAAAGGTGGCTTGGTGGCCAATGCTAGAATCTCAGATAGATGTCAAGAAAGACAGTAAATTTTCACGTATCAAAACCGATGATCAATGGGAAAAAAAAGGAAACAAAACAAAACAAAAACAAACCCCATCGATGATGTTATTAGCACTTCAAACACCCCGGCCCAGCACTGAGCTCCCAGGCTCGTCCCCTCACTCCTCCCTCTACCATTTTGCTTAAGCTCGCCCTGCTGCTCTATGCCCATAGCTGCCCGAGAGCTATCCAGAGAGAACAGTCCTTGGTGCTTACTTCCCTTGCAGTGTTTCATCACAGGATTTCTTAAGTCAAGGCTGGGACTGTTAAGTTTTCTTAAGGTAAGCCTGCTGGCAAAGAGCATGCTTCCTCCCCACACACTTTCTGCCAGCCCTTCCCTCCCTCAACTACTTCCTGTGCTCCTTCTTCCTTTTAAGGAAGATGAATGGATTTGGCTCATATTAAATCAATAAACAAAAAGATTATACTTTTACATCTTGCTAAAGAATGCATTTAATTTCAAGCTAGTAATACTGCTTTCAGAGAGCAAACATGTCTGCCTCAGCCTAGGCAAACTCATTGTGGCATTTAAAACCTATTTCTAGGCAGAAGTACTAAAAAATTTCACAGTTAAACTACTGCATTTGGTTGTAAAATATAAATAAAAAGCCCAGAAAACATGTTTGAACAGAGATGTTTAACCTGTTTCCAACAAAAATCTTAGATCTGAAATAAATTTCTTGCTGGGAGAAAGTTAACACGTTTTTCTGTAAACTTCACTGGCACTCTTTGAAGACTTACCTTATAAAAAAAGTACTGTACAAGGGTTGCTATTCTAATATAGTAAAAGTGCCCATGAACAAAAAGCAACTTGGAGAGGAATTTAAACCGCGCTATTGCATAGTCACTGTTTCTTACAGCTTGTCTTCCTTCCTTGCCCATGATTCCTGTAATATTTGGAAAACAAAATAGGAAAAAAGGTTAAACATTATAAAAATTAGCGTTTAAAAAAACCCAAACAACAACATACATTGGAAGCAACAGTTCTATTTTCCTGCACTTCAACATTATAAAGACTTCAGCAACTTTCAGTTCCAAAAGAAGACATTATTCCAGACACTTACAACTAAGGGAAACTGCTCATTTGATGCAAAATAAAATTAAAAAAAAAAAAAAAAAAAAAAAAAAAGACTATTTACATAAGCTATGCTTAAGAAAAGATTTATGGGAAGACATAGAATTAATAACACTAATACAAAACCAACATTCCCAAATCAAGCAAACCATTCTCAATCCATCATCAATTATCAATTTACTTAGTGTCTTTTACTTCAGAGCATTTTTTCTTACAGTACTTTCTAGGAACAGTATATGACCTATACTCAATAGCAGAGTAATAGAAATGCTGTTCTTACAACAGCAGTTTACTTAACTGATGGGCTGACAATGCTTGTCACTTGTCACAGCTGAACACAATTTCATTTCTAAAAACTATTATTAAGATTAGGATAAGCATACACAGAGAACAAAATGCTCTTTTACAAAAGAAAAGTGGCCCAGGATTTCTGAACACCAGACACTTAAAAGTGCTGGTTGCCCTTGAAAAAAATAGTCTAGAGGTCCCATCACTCTTGATGGCAAAGACTTGCTAGTTCTGACCAGCGTACATGTAATATCTAATATGCTACAAATTACAATAAAAACTTGGATAATTTTATTTTTCATAAGCTTGAGTTATTTGACAAACTAACTGTAGAATAAAGCTTAATTTGCTATTGGCTTGCAACCTTCTCAGGCAGGCTATACCCACAGTCTTAAAACACACGGCCACATGATTTACATGATAAACATTACGTATACCTTTTTAATCACAAAGGGTGACAGATTGAATATCCTGATGCACTAATACCTTACATTAGAACCTTCAGCATTTACTGTTGTAACAAACACCATCCCACAAAATCAGTAAAGGAAATACCAACATACTATGTGATGGGTACCAATTCAGTTATACATATGTTTTGGTTTGTACTCAGTTATATAACACAGCAGCAAAAAAAGTTTAAAGGTGGTCCTGGCCAAATAACAGAAAACCATATAAACAGAGAAAACTACCAAGCCCAGCTGAGAATCAGTAACAGTCTCTCAAATACAAACTTCTCCTCAAAGACTAACTAGACACAAATGGCATTTCTACAGTGATACAGATGTGGTGCAAACAGTGGCAGTTTAGCACAAAGGGACATTTAAAGGTCAAGTTTACACAGGAACTTAGAACCTGACAATGTCTGAAGTTAGAGATATCCACTTCCAATATCTGAAACAGAGTACTTCTGAGATTCTAGTTAGAGAGAATCTTTGCTGTTCTTAAGGCAACATTAAGCAGGACCTCTGATAAATGGTAGACTACACAGTAAACCTAAGATTTCTGAAAGCAAACAGCCTTAAATTTTAAATTTCACTAAAATTCTGCTACAACAGATAACTCACCCTGTCATTCACAGGTGCAAAAATGTTACAAGTTAAGCTGTTTATAAACACTATTCATGATCTAATATTCTACTAAAATTTGCATCTTATTTGCCTTTATCTCTTTTGACAAAAGAAAGTTACCTATGCCAACATGTGCTTCTTGTATCATGCTCACATCATTAGCACCATCACCAATTGCTAATGTTATAGGTTTCTCTGGAGACGTTTTTAACAGTCGCACTACCTGGGAAAAAAAAAAGGGGGCAGAAATTTTTCAAATTAGACACATAGTCTACTTACAAACCCACTAATGTCACTAATTCCCAAGTATCTTAATTACCTACCTATAAATATAATTAATATGTTTTATGAATGTGCACGCTTGGGTAAAAAACATCTTTGGCATTATACACGCTCAAATTCATTGCTCCTTTAGGAAAGCTGCTTGCTTTGGGGCACAAGCCTTATTTAAATACTATGCCTGCCTTGCACTTATTTTGCTGTTCTTTTTTAGCTGTTCCTTTACAACTCTTAATTTGGTGCTTTATTGTATAATAAAACAGTCAAGTAGAAGTTGGAACTGAAAATTTACTTGAGTAATCCAGTTTTAGTGCCCTTTACTAGACTTGCCCAGATTCTTCACATTTTCAATTAATGGAAGTGATCAGCATAAATGAGGAATCTGAAAAAACGATGTATTAGCTCAAAGATCAATACATGCTGTTATTAAGGAAAATAGTTTCTTTTTAAAGCAACTTCATTATCACCAATGGGTATTCTCAGTTGGAAAAGTCACAGAAGAAGATATGATAGAAAGACAAAAAAAAAAAATTGTTTACATACAATGCTCTAAAATCCTCAAAAGAAGAGCAGCGATATCCCGCTCTTCACAGAAAGGAAACACATCTTTAATGTAAGTGCCAACAATATTCGAAATAGAGTTAGTCAGATGAAGCTTTTGGTTAAGGAGAATTAGTAATTCATTAACCTCCCAGAGAGCTCTAACTAAAGGTAGAAGCTTCACTAATCACCCCTAAACGAGCTGCAGAGGTAGACGTGGGAATACAGATCCAGAAGACTTTCTAAAAACAAAAAAATATCTATCTACGAAAAAATACTGCATTTCCCCCCTGAAGTTCCAGAAAACCCAAAGTGGAAGTAACAGAGCAACAACTGCATAAGATAGACACAAACAACTGTATTCAAATAATTGAGTTCTAGCTGGCAGTATCAGTGCATTGATTCATAGGAGCAGTAACTCACTTCACACAAGGAACACAACAGTGATTAAATACAGTCCACAGTTCAGAGAAAACCACTTGATTGTGGGAATACATTCCCTAATTGCCAGTATTAATATTCAAGTTTAAAGGTTCCCCATTCCTAAGGGGTAATTATTTAAAGTACATTTAGCATTAGATCTTAGTAAGCAGCATTAAAGAGGTAGCAAGGCTGCAGTATGTCACCCAGATCGGTCCTCATGACATACCAAAGACTGTGGTAATTTAGACAGACAAACATCTACACGAAAAGGTCAAGACAAATTCTCTGGCAAGTTTTAACAGCTGCAATCAGTAGCAGCTCTGAATTACTGACATGAAAGATGTTCAAAAAGGTTTCCGAGCCATAAAATATACAAAAGTAAGTAGTAAGACCACTAGCCATATATTAACAAGCATTAAAATTAAAGGAAAAGACGTGGGAAATACTAAGCTGAGTTCCAGCTTAACCTTGGAATAAACCTCAAAAAAAAGGGTGCCTACAGCAGAAAATCAAATGCAAGGCTAGACTACTTGGCCATACACTTCTTTCCCCACCCTCTCCTCCCATGTTGTATGCCATTTGTCTCAGTGATTTATATACTTCAGTGTTTAAAATTTAAGTCACTGCCATCAAAATCAAGTTTTACTATACTTCATGACAAAACACAGGAAATAATGGAGATTATCTGCTGGACAGGATAAGAATTAAGGAAAGCATTATTGGCTGCTATCTGCCAGATTTGGCAGTACAAAATGCATGATAAATCAAGTTAAGTGACAAAATAAGAACAAGGACACAACATAGGCAAAAAGCTACACCTTAAAGAGGGGATGGCAAAAATTTCAGCTGAAAGTGTACACGAAGTAGACACACCCAACAAATTGTTTTTCTCATAGTAGTTACAAACAACTTCCTTTTAACATTTTATTGAAACTAATATTATACCAATTTTTTTTTTTTTTTTACACAGCTGACCAGTTTTATAATGAAGTGATTCTAAAGACTGCATTAAAAGTCTGGCTAAACGTTGGAAGCAGGAAGAGTGACCTCAAAACAGGTCACTTATGCTATAATGAAATAGCCTGCTCTCTTTTACACATTTACTACCGCACATAAGTGTTTCCTAGTGCTTTAAGTTAAAAAGATGTCTTTTTTCCTTTTCTTTTTGACAAGGTGTAAAAATAAGAGTGGGCAACAGTGTCCCTTCAGAGGTTTAGTACTACTAGAAATACATGCAAAAAGCCTTTAAAGCATACAGATAAGCTAAAAGTATGAGAAATTAAAAAATACTCCAGTAGAGGTATACAATTGAATATTAGTCAAAAAAAGAAAAGAGAAGCATAAAAATAACGAGAGACAATTTCAAAAAGGAAAGATTATACCTCTTCAGAGCTTCGCTTTCTAGAGAAAAAAAAAAAAAAAAATCACAAAAGCTGAATTTTAATTTTATCTGACCCGTCCTTGAGTAAAATTAAGTACACGTGAAGGAAAAATGGCTTTAGAAGAGAGCATTAAGGCAAACTTCCCACAGAGACTAGCCTCAGGTACCCTTCCCTTCTACTTCTTCCTCAAACTTGGGTATTTTTTAAATCTTTAGAAAAGCATATTTTTTCCCTACAGCTTCATGAATTTTCAGTTTAGCCTTTTTTTAAGCTCTCCTAGCTTTAGCTTTTGGAAAAGTGATGGAACAGGCAATGCAAAGGCATGAGGTGATCAGGACAGCTACTGTCTTACAGAACACTCAAGAGGCTGATTAAAGATTAGCTGCCTTCTTACATGGTGGCTGTATTTTGACACTCTCCATCCACTTGCAAATTTTCACAAACGCATGTATAAACTTATGAGCAAACTACTCCAGATCAATTGAATTTAACAAGGATTCAAAAGTCACAAAAAAGGTCAGGCAAACAAACAGAGCAGTTCCAGAAATCCTTGCCTCCTCAATCCATGATAAAAATACTTAAAAGACAATCCGATTACATTCTCACTTACCTTTGCTTTCTGAAGGGGTGCCATGCGACAGCACAACACTGCAGAACAGTTTTTGCAAACTTCCATGAACAGTTTTTCATGTTCCCTGAGTGCAAGAGAGAGGCTGGTCCCATCCACAACCAGTCCATGCTGGATAACATGGTCTTCCTTTATTCTATTCAGGGACAAAAAAGCTGGCTTTGTATTGGTGCGAGGGAAAAATTTAAATTTTGTTATTAACTATGCAGTTGCCCATACAATAAACAAAAGAAGTTAGCACGTTAGACAGACTGGTTCTTCAAGTCTGTCGTTATATTACTAAATAAATTTTTTAAAAAGGCAGCTTCACGTGTTTGGCACATACATCAAAGAGATTGCCATAGAATTTGAAAATAAAAGAAAACCAAGCTAAGATAATCACTTAGATAATGACATCTCAGATGTTTTACCTCTTGGCTAGCTGCATCAGTTGTTCTGCGCATGTACTGTCTGACTTGTGTTGCACAAGCTCAAGGATGTTCATGGTTCTATGAAAGTGTCCACATGATAAACTGACACTAACAGCCGTTTCATGCTTATCTCCAGTGAGTACCCACACTTTGATACCAGCCAACCTGAGCGCTTCTATAGTTTCTTGGACCTTCTCCTGCAGTCTAGAAACAAGAAAAAAATCTTAAATAACCAATTTATAACACTTAACAAAAAAAGAGTTTACACTGTGACTCCACGTTACTCCTGTAACCTCACTGTAATGATGACTTAAGACTGCATTTCCAATTTTACTTATATTTCTGGAGAATCATAGTCTGGCAGATGACATTCTGTTACCAGTAATAAAATGAAGGCCTTGATAAAACAAAACCTGAACTTCAAACCTGCTAAGTGATCAAATACTTGTAATAAGCATATTTTAATTTAAATTAGGCACCACTGCTGCATTTGAGAAGCTTTAAAACAGTCCACAATTACTATCTACTGTGGTGCATGAAATGCTTCTAACTGCTCCATCTGTACACTCCAGTGTACAATACACTCTGACTTACAGAATATCCACTACACAAGCAGAATGCTTTGCAAAGTACCTATGTATAGGAGTTTTCCCAAAGAATTAGCTGTTACCCTAAATATTTACTGTAATTATTCCATTTCACATACATTAAATCTCTCCTAATGAAGCACACTAAGTCATACTTATTAAGCCAAAATCAGTTGGTACAACGTGTTTTGAATGCTCCTCAATCCAGAGAGGTAAACATACTAAAGAAGAATAGCACAGAACTTTTGGTTGTGGTGGAAGAATTTTTTTCATGGCACACATCATATTTCAGTTATAAATCCTAAACTCGCTATGTTTTTCAGTGTAGTTAGTAGAAACTCCATTGCATACTTGTCTTCTACTCCTGTAGCCCCAAGTAATTCAAGATCCCTTTCTATGAAGTTGAATACATCTGCTAATCTTTCTTCCCGTTGTTGTAAGGCAGTCCTGGCCTCATGAAGGCGTTTGCCAATTTCTTGATACTCCTCAGGTGTGAATCTTCTGTAGGCTATGCACAAAGTTCTTAGTCCTTTCTGCGAGAAAATAAAAGACTATATTCAGAGCAGACAAGATTCTGATCTAACAAGAAGGCATCACCTGCAATTTGTTCACTTCAAGTCACAGAATTTGTACTGGAAGAATTTTCATCCAATCAGCTGGGCAAGCATATACACTTACCAAAGCAAATTCATCCACATGTATCCTTGTTTTGTCTATTTCTCCACTCTTACTACGAGGAAGAATGGAAGATTCTGCTCCCTTTGTGAATAAAAGCTTCTCCCCTAAAAAGTAAAATAGAACAGAAATTAAGAACACATACTATTTAAGAAGTTCTCAGCTGCAGCTTGTGCAACTTCTGATCACTTACCTGAGGGACTCTCTACAATGACACTCATTCGTCTGCGATTTGGATCAAACTCCAAAACATGAAGCAATTTATACCTGTATTTTGTGTTTTAATAAAGAGGGAAAGGGAAAAAAACATTTTTAGAAATAAATTTCCAAAGACAATGACTTATAAATACAGTCTTACCCCACAGAGCTTTCCCCAAAGTGTCATTTTTATATAGAAATGCTAAAAGTAATGCTACCACTGTTGAGCAACAATGTTATCTGTGTTTCTGAAACTGATTGCTTTTCATCACTTTATATTTAATTCCATTCTACAAGAATAAAAGGTTCTTCTACCAATAGGAATAGTTTCCTGAACGCTAGCTTTAGATCTGGAGATTACAATCAGCTCCTACCTATTCCTTTATCCTTCTATCATTACTTCAGGTGTAACTTTGAAAACTACATTTTGTTTCTAGCACTTGTAAACAATCTACAGTCAAAGAGGAGCATATGTTCCCTGATAACTGGACTATTTTTTTATTATGTTACCACTAGTTTAGAAACTTAATTTTAGACATTTAAGTTTAAAGTACTGCCAACTAACTGACACAGATCAAATGGATAAAAGGTGTTATGACATATGACAGATACACAGTTATCAATAATATTTCTACTCATTTTAGGAAAGTTTAAAATAATTAGATTATGCATACATGAGACTGATTCTGGGAACTTCTAGAGCTGAAAGCACAAACTGTAAGACTTTAATAAACAATCCAGTTTTCCAACTCTACTACAGTCTCAACCTTTGAGGAATGGGCAAAGATACAAACTGTTACAATACACACCTACACAGAGTAACTCACACACAACTCTTGCATCTCAGTTTCAATTGGTGGGGAATAAGATGCAAGCTGTCTTGAAGACATCAAGGGAAAAGCATTAAAAAGAGCATGCTGTGGAAAGGCAAGGTTTTCTTATGAAGAGAGAGGATTAAGAGGAGAACATTATATTAATCTTCACTACTGTTCTGTCCTTCAAAAGAAACAAGGAATAAAAATTAATACCTTTCTGGTTTTCCGAGACTTTTTACTTCCATACTGTCCCCACTAGTTCCAGTAAATACAACTCCAACCCTAAAAGGTAAAGAAAATAATACATTAATTTTAACCATCACTTTAGACATAATGCCTATTGAGAAAGGGGGCCAGGGGAGAGGGGGCCAGCGCTCTTATACCCCATTACTGCTCTCTATTTCTAGAGAAGATGAAGAATGCCCACTTTCTACAACATTTAATAGCAACATACTCTGTCCATTATAATTTCTCAAGGATTTCCATAAATATTTTAAATAATCAATTCATAACATGCCTAGGTTTTTGTGTATTTTATTTTTGTATGTTTTCATAGTAAACTGACAGTGCCAGGCCCTGGGCTTTACAATCTTTCTGAGCAAATTTTAAGGTTGCTTTTACCATGAATTGCCTGCCCTAGTAGGCAATTTCTACATTAGATAGTTTTGGCAGTACAACTCACCGGCTTGCAGCTTCAACTAAAGCTTTCTCATCTGGTGAAGAAGCATAATACTCCAATGGGGATGCTATTCCATTGGCTTGCCAGGGACCATCAGCACCATCTGTTTGATCTGCATTGATCTGCACTGTATGACAAAGGCAAACTGCTTTCAAGAAGAGTTCTTCCTCTCTCATCTGTAAGAAAGAAAAAACCTCATCTGTAACATTTACATATGAACCCAGTTTTGAACATATTTAATAAAAGAATATGTTTTTACTTAAAAATCTGCCAAATATTCCATGTTAAATAATCATATCTCAACATGTTTAATAAATATTATTTGTTCAGTAACACTTAATAGCTTCACACTTTTCAGAAATTGTGATTTTTTAAAAAAATGCTACTGCTAGAAGAGTATTTCTCTAAAATAAAACACTTTCTACCTAGGATGCCTAATGGGGGTGGCGGTGGGGTGTGTGTCTTACCAAACTATGCCTATTTCCATCTGGAGAATCTTCAGAAAACCCCTCTGGAGTTAGTTTACCATTGACCTCTTGGTACTTTACGCCATTAATGGAGCACTCCCGAAACTGCATCTCATTTTCAGTTAATGTACCGGTTTTATCTGTAAACACATACTCTACCTTTTGTAAAAGAAAACAAAAACAGACTTGGAGTTGCATATATTTGTTAGAATTAAAAAAAAAAAAAAAAAAAAATAAACTCACACTCTCCACTACACACCTTTTTTTGATCATGTAAAAATTTTAATTTCTGCCATCAGGTATTTACAGCTTATTTTTAAATTAATCAGAAAACAAAGCACAATCAATAAAAAGTCTGTAGTAATGAATTTTAATATTAAAAAAGAAGTAGAAAAC